ATAAGTTTTCTTTTTTAAGGTATAATAACACCGTTACATCTAAGGTTTTTAAAACTAGACCAGACAAGGAAATTGTTCTAGGGACCAGTTTTCGGGTTGAACGGTCTGACCGTTCAGTTTGAACGGTTTGATTTTAAAAATAAAAAAAATAGCCAAAAACTATTGCTCGGATCAAAAGTCCAACTGCCCTAGTCAATTGTTTTTTTACCAAAAAGCGGTTTTAGGGTGAAATGGAACCGGTTATCCAACCAATTCCCAGGTTTTCCGACCCATCTGGTCAGGTCCAGTTTCGAAAACTATGGTTACATCCAATGTTTTGAAAACCGACCTAAAGGCCGAACCATTTTTGCCTCTCTCTCTCTCTCTCTCTCTCTCTCTCTATATATATATATATATATATATATATATATATATATATAGATGTTGAGGTGGGCGGACACTAAGATGGAATAGACCTGCTAATATGCCCAATGTCCCTACTGCAATATGATGAGAGGCTATTCCTCCCAGAACAAAAGGATCAAAACCTTCTACACCCCACGTGGGATTTACAGGTTGTACTTTTCCAATTAGTCCATAAGGATCGGACACCCATATGCCAAGACCATACAAACCTTATATATATATATATATATATATATATATAAATCATCTACAAATATGTTTTAGATATGTTATATGTATTTTTATATTTAATTCAGTTTTTAATTTTTTATTTATAATAAATATTAAAAATTGCAATTTGAGGCCAAAAAATATTTTTTTCATGAAAATAGTGGGGCAAGGCACAGGGGATGCATATATCTCAAAAAGTTACCCAAAATAAAAAAAATCACCCCGATTAGAAATTGGAGTACAAAGTTATGGCCTCCGAAAGTTTGTATGCATTGAGTGTGCAACCTACGACTTGGTGATTGGATCGAACAAGTTAATGGCTGAACCGGCCAAGTTGAATGATTCTTGACCAAGTCAATGGTTTTTTACCATATAAAGGGTCTTGGCTGATCCAAACCCAAAATCCCGACCAAGTGACGGTTCGAATGATTCAATCGGCCAGGTCAACGACGAATTGAAAACACTGGTTACATCTATGTTCATGCAATATGTTAGTTGTAACTTGCAGGTCATTCTTCATCTTATTTCCACTTTTTTTTTTCTAAAAGATCATCTTATTTCCACTTGCATCAGCATAAACACATGCTGGAAAACCTAACTACGGATGATATAAACTAAATATTTCTAGAGCCTATCGCATGTCAGATCATCGAGTGTATCTTCAGTCGCTAGCATTTCCTACAACTGCGACAATCCAAAGATCCCAGATAAAATGCAAACACACCAACATTTGCAATAAATTTATGATATCGCATCAATTGATGTTTTTGGGTAAATCTCTTAAACTACTCCTATTGTTTGTGAAATTGACTAACTCTACCCTTATTGTTTACATATTGTCTTGAAGTACCTTTAAGATTTCTAACAATTGTCTAAAACCTCCATTGCCATTAATTTTCCATCACATGTGACATGTAATTATTTTAAAATTCCTAAAAAACCCTTATTGTTCACCACTATTGTTGGAAGTTGCAACGATGGCAATGATTTTGGTATTGTTGTCGCAGGCAACAACGGCCACTACAACCTCCGAACGACAAAAGTTTGGTAGCTGATTCAATTAATATCCTCTGTGTTCTCTCCCCCTTCTCTTAGTGGATCTCAAATGAAATGTCAAAAAATTAAGGTTTTATGAGTTCTACGGGGGTTGGCCAAAGCATAGACATCGCGTTCAACCGTAGGTCCCTCGATCTCTTGATGTTTGAATTCTAGGTTTTGATTGGGGTAATTGGATTTCTCAGAATCGGTAGAAGATAAAATTGGAAAGGTGCAATTCCACTCCTGTTAAATTCCCTCCATCTCTTGAAGTTTGAATTCTAGGTTTTTACTGGGGTAATTGGATTTCTCGGAATCCAAATCATCTGAAGAAGTTGATAAAAATGTAAGCGTTGCTTCTCGAAGCACGGAGCTGAGGGTATGTCCTGTAAAGCTTGAAAACAAAATTTGTCGTAGAAGATAAAATTGGAAAGGTGCAATTCCACTCTTGTTAAGCCCCAAAAAACAAGTTGTTTGAGGAATAAAGCCTGAAAGAACTGCTTGATTCAATTTTTCTTCTCCCTCCGTCCCTCCAACTGCGCTGCCTAGACCATCTTCAGTATGTGCTTTTGGTGGGACTCTACGTCTCCGTGCCTTCAAAGTATAAGGAGGGGAGAATGGTTCGTTGTAGGTCCCTAGAAACTTCTTCCGCTTTTCAAGAGCTTCATCTGCTGTAGGTCCCTTGTTATAGAGCAAGATATGTTGAGCCTTCTTATTTGCTTCAAGAGTTCGTTTCAAGAGATTTCTCTACAAAACCATCATCGATGTGCTTGAGGGGATGGTCTCTGCTAATTCAAGTTCAGTCCTTGCGAAATTGAGAAAGGATACATTGGTGCCACTTTGAATGGGAATGTTAATCGGCTTTAGGTTTTCCAAACCGTTCTCACACTTGGTGGAGAAGAAGATCTCAGTAGTAATGTCGTTTGATTTCTGCCAGGTAGCTAGAACCAGAACACGAACATCCCCACAACATTCTCAGCAGTAGGTTTGGAATATTCAAATTCAAACCGCCACCGATTAGATACTCACCGCTGGAGGTCTTAGTATGCCACCGATCAACTCCTCGTCTCCTCCGCCATCTACAACATCAAAGATTTAGATCCCTTCGTATGCAAAGCATTCGCCTTCGAAAAACTTGAAACTTTCCTCCACCTATGCCACATATCACATCCTCTGCTACCACGATATTAAGGCCGGTGGTGTGATTGGAAATTCCAGGAGCATCATCAAGACAATCTGACAGGAGACCAGCACGTGGATCTATAGCCGTTCATGGCTCTATTAGCAGCAGCATCCAATGCTAGATTCAATCTTTCTTCTCCCTCCATCCCTCCAACTGCGCTGCCCAAACCATCATCAGTATGTGCTTTTGGTGGGGCTCTACGTCTCCGTGCCTTCAAAGTATAAGAATTTGCAACAGTTTTTTACTTCGATCGCAATGAAAAACGGAGAGTGGAACGGTTACACCACCAATTTTCATCCTAGCGCATGAAAATGGAGCAAATTATTCAAAAACCCAATACACAAACTGGATTTCCTACTCAATACGATTCAAAAAACAATGGAGACTCTAACCAAAATCTGGATCCGTTAGTATTTTTGGCGCTTATGCATAAATGAACCGCACTACACAGCCAAGGCGAATCAATTGTCAAAAAATTTAAGATAATATGTAAACAATAAAAGTAAAACTAGTCAATTTCACAAACAGTAGAAAGGTAATTTAAGAGATTTACCTTTTTTATATTTTTATTTCAAGCAGTAGTGTATTAGGATTTCATTAGGGTTTGCATGCGACAGTCACAGGAAATGTTTTTCTCTATCATTAGAGATTCGAGGGGTGGACGTCAACATAGTAATTCTATTTCTATGGGATAAGTTGCTTTTGAAGTTGTTATTGGCTATCAGATAACGATTACGTTTTACATTGGATGGATCATGGCTGGACAAACCTGGTGGTGGAATCAGACTCCCAATCGACTGGAAGTTGCAGAAGTTTATAATATATTATCTCCAACAGATAAAATGTGGTTATCCGGCAAGCCAATTATGTGTTATGAACAAGCACCGACACAACGACACTAAAGTAGTTGTTCCGCTGTTAGTTGCTGATGTGTGGGGTTTAGACCCCGTTCGCTGCAATTTTAGAACATTTGTGATTTGTCCATCAATTAATACAGAAACAGTAGCAGTTTCCGAACTCCTTGCCTCTCTTTCTTACGTGGTTGTTTGGTTGGGGCATCTAGGGGTGCAACTTGGGCGGGCTTAACCCAAGCCCGGTTCAGCCCAACTCAATTTTTTTGAGGGTTGGGTTAGATTTTTTGGGCCTCAGGTTGGGCTTGGGTTTGAAAAGATCGGTTTTTATTTTTTTTGGGTTGGACTTGGGTTGAGGTCTTGGGTAACCCAAGCTCGACCTGATGTAATGTACATGTAGTATATACTATATAGTTGAATCAATGAATCTTATGTTAATATGTTATTACTTATTATGTTGGCTTAATGGTAGTTGTTTAATTAGTAAATTACTATTTCAATATTAGGTGCCATGTGTCAATTGTCAATGCCATCACTCAAAGACATTAATTAGTTTCTTAAATTTCTTTTTCTAAACACGATTTCCCTCTTTCACTTTGTATGTCTATGAGACCTTGACGTTTCAAATTCTTTTAATTTGAATGCCATTATGACAAATTGGCAACATTAATTAAGGAAACCCAAAGGCCAAACCACCAAAAACCCAAAAGTCCAAAGCGAGTGAAAACTTATTATGACAAGTTGGCAACACTGCTTAAGGAAACCCAAAACGAGCAAAAACTCATTAGGCTGATTAAATTTTAATCTGGGGCTTTGGCCTTTGGGCTGATTAACCAATTCAAGTTTGGCCCGAACCCAGACCCAACCCAAGTGCCTAAAGTTTTAGTGCGGGCTGGACTTGGATTGAATAATTCGAGCTTGACCTTGGGCTCGAGCTTTAGGTCCAATTCTTAGGGTTGGGCCTGGGTTGAGCTAAAACCCGGCCCATCCCGCCCGACTTGCACCCCAGGGGCATCGATGGCGTTTATAAAAATAAACGTTCTGTACAATTGTCTTAAAAAACGTGACAATCTGCTTTATCATTTTATACTATTTTTTTACGCAGCGCCATTAGCGCCATTGCAATATAAGCCAAACAGTAAAAAACGGTCTTTGAAAATGAAAAACATCAGATTTGGCATTTTTTTTTTTGATAAACGGCTCTCACGATTTTCGAGAACGAGAGAGTGTATCTGATAAACGACTCAACCAAATAACTTTTTTTAGCGTTTTTTTGTTAAATGCATCTATGATGCAGCACCGTTGCTCCGAAAAGCTATATCAATACCAAACACCATCTTAATGAATAAAGTTCTTAATCAATTTAAGGAAAAGCCAATATACTATGGATTTTGAAATAATCAGAATATAATTCCAAAGTTGTAAAAAGAAAGCAAAATCCGGAGAGTACAAAGACTGCTCCCAACCATCAAAGTACTCTGAAAAGTAAACCACAGAAAGGTCTTAGAAGGCACCATCCTTCCCGCACTGGTGGTAAGGGAAGCAGATCATGGCAGGCAGTAACAACAACAGGGTTCAATCATCATCATCATCAGTGTGTGGTTCCTTTCTATTGCAGATGCTCCCTTAGAATATATGGACAATGTCATATGCAAAACTTGGTGCATTAAGGAAAATCAATAGAGCATTAATTTTCAGAAGTAGGGTAAGGAGAAAGAAGAAATAAGAATTATATGATCGAGTCCCACCCAGTAGTTGAGGACCATGAACAAAATTAACTCTGCCATCCACCCATGAAAATTCTGATTGAGTGAGTAGTCCAATAAATGAGAAGCCATTTTGCCAATTGGATAACAGGTGGGCTATGGAGTTGCACTGAATGGTAAAGCATCAACCTCTTATTCCAATATTTCAATAACAGGTTGATTTAGCATACCTTTTCAGTAGAGGCATATCCCAAATCCTATTTTGATTAAAGTAGTTTCATTATCAATGAGTAAAATTGTTAGTATTACTCTTGATTCTGATATGTTATTTAACATAATGAACTATCATCTTTTTAAGACCAAACTACCTTTGAATTATGTTAAGGATACGTCCAGAACAAAACGTATGACTGCAAACATACAAAGATAATGTCAGTTCGATAGAACTATTATAATTGTAGCAATACCAATAAAGAAAACCTCAACAACCTTGAAAAGTACCAGCAACTTTAAAATGGCCAGACATACATGCAAGAGAGAGAGAGAACAAAAAAAATGCCAATGCACTTGCAAACAAATACAAAGTAACTCTTAACAATTCTTAACACAAGATTTCAACCTCCCCCCCATGCTTGGAGAGTACAAACAAACTTTGGGTGGGGAAGAATCATCATCATCATGCCATATCCCAACTATATGGGGTTTGCTCTTTTTGTGGGGAAGAATACAAACTAGAATTCAGTTTCATAAAGATTGCACATCATTCATTGTAGCTGTTAATAGTTTTGACAACAGAATGACTTCTCAGATATATAACTAGATTAGCAATTGACAACCAAAAAATGATGTGGTGAATATGCTCAAGGCAGTGTGTACTCTCAAAAAGACCAAGAACATTAATTTCTTTATGTTGATGTAGCATGATCAAGGGCATGATTTAGTTGATTGTTAGCCAGGAAATCATTTGAACACGAAACCATTATGAAGGACCCTTTCTTCTAAGCAAACTGTAAGACATGAAAATCTCTTATCAACTGTTGCATCTGGAATAGAAGAAGATGCAATGTGAGAATTCTCAAAGAGGTGACATTCTGGAAGGACACCATGAGAAAATCCTCATTTTCCATCTGAACACCTCCTGGTGCTTCATCCATTGGTAAGAAAATCACCCGTTGAAGACTTGAAGCGTTTTTTTCCCAGCAGAGTGAATTTTCTAGTCATTTTGTTTGCAAGAAACCATACCAAGAAATGCATTCATTCTTGGGAAAAAACCATACAATTCATGAAGAATCACATGGAAAATGAGTACAAACAGCTTAGAGCTGACAATTGTTGTGTTATGGACGAAAATAATATCAGTACAAATCTTTCTAAGGGCATGGCAGACCCAGTCTAAACCATTTTTCTGCATCCCTTCCCCAGTTAGCATATTAGCAAGGCTGTCAGTCCTAGGTATCCACAAGAACGAGTGATTCATATTTCCAACAAGCCATCACTAGCAAGAAGTATAGCTTTCTCACAAACCCTGTCCGTGATCTTTTCCCATAATCCTAATGAATTTCCTTCGATCTCTAAGACTTTCTTAAGAAAGCATTTGATGTCTAGAACCTAATCAGGAAGAGCAAGCTTGGAGTCATTGGGAGTCTGGATCTCACAGGATTTTAACAAAGTCAAAGGCAAATACTGATATTGCAGGCCAAAAATATCAAGGAAAATCATGTCAGTTTTCTAGTAAAAGTTTTAGAAATATGTTGTAAACCATATGCAAAAATCCACTTAGCCACTTCTCTCAGTTAATTTTTCTTGACAAATAAGCAGAACTGGAAGCAGTTTGATCTTTTTTCTCTTCCTTTTACTGAATCTATTCTTGCATCTTGAGAGACATACAAAAGTCATGAATATTGCCTCTCCTCTCCATGGAATACTCTCTTGGAATTTTAATCTCCAGAGACATCCCAAGAGTCCAATGGAAGTGGTCTACTCTTGGTCTTGGAATCCTGAAAAAGAAAGCCTCAATCCTATTTGTAGAGTTCATTCTGGAGTTTGGCCACCTGAGCCTCATTGACTTCCCATCATTTAATCGCCCATTTAGGAGGGATTTCATGCCATGTTTTTTCAAACTTTAACATTTTTTAGGCATGGAAAACTTAAGTCACAGTTGGTGAAAAACAGAGAGCTGGAACAAGTGTTTGTACAGCCACTTACCAGCTGTTTGCTCAACCAATATTAAAGCTTGGTCATTTCTCCTTTTTTTCATTTTAGAACTTTTCAACATAGACAATTATGCTCCTTACTCTTTCCTTTAGCTTCATCTTATTTAGTGGAAAATGTACTCAAATGCATTTCTAATACTCAACGAAGTCCTTTGGCTTCCATTTTTAAGCAGCTAGAATTAAACACCAACCCTCCCAAGTGGGACCAAAATCTCTTTACAAGTCTTTATAAACTTGTCTCCAGCCAATCAACATTTCCATTTGATATCACATGAAAGATGTCGGTCCCATTGTATGACAGTTTTTTATGCTCAATGAGTAGATAAACGAGGAAGCTTCACTAGATAGTCATTTCTGGAGTGTGTGGGGAAGGGGAAGCACTAGTTGCATTCCATGGTCCCAGAAGCTTTCCTATGTATGAGAGGAAGAACTTGACGTTCGGAGCTCCTTAGTAGCTTCTAGGGGTGCTCACGGTTCGGGTAACCGAACCATAGCCTTTTTTGTGAACCGAACCGGTAGTACCGTTTTTTGGAAAACCGGTAACCGGAACCGAACCGAAACCAGTTGGTTAACCGGTAGTACCGTTTAATGCATATTTATTAATTTATAATATATAAAATATATATATATATAATATACATAAATATATAGAAAATATATAGAAAAATATGTATATCGGTCAGTTCAGTTAACCGTCGGTTTTTTAAATTGGTTAACCAAAACCAAACCAGTACCTTCGGTTTTTTAAAAACACCAAACCAACCAGTTCGGTTTTGGTCGGTTCAGTTTTTCGGTTTTTTTTGCTCACCCCTAGTAGCTTCCTTTTTTTTTGAAGGTAAAGTATATATTTCAATAATAATCAAAAACCACATGCGCACTGAGGCTCTGTACAAGTGAATATATAGCCTTTCAGGCAGGCTTTACAGAAAGCAACCTTTTGTCAGAAAAAGTATCACACCAAATGTCATGCCAAAACTTAACTCTGATGTCGTTCCCTACCTTAAACTGTACTCTTGAGAATTGTAGAGAAGATGGGCCGAATGGCCCATAGGTTGTCTATCCTTTCATATGTTTATATTCTTTTCTGTAGTGGGCCTTATTCTGGGCCCATTCTTTCTATGTTATGTTCTTTTAATTTCTTGCCCAACTAAGGGCCTCTTTGTAAATTATTCAAGTTTAACTTAATAAAACAGTGTTAGGGGGTAAGAAGAGAGATTAAGGTTCGAATCTCTCTCTCTCTGAACCCTTATTGCCGCCATCTTCTTCTTCATCTTCTCTTCCTTAGAAGAAGTATTTTCTGTTGTTTTCTTTTGATTTCTGCATCTATCCTAAACAGTCCTCTATTCTCAAGGACTGTTTTTCTTCTAGAATTTAGCTTGAACCTTTGTAATGCCTTTCCAAAGACTGCAACCATAGGAAGAAGTCACTTAATTAGAGTCCCCACCCAATTCACTTCTGCCATACTTGGCTTCAATCACTTACTTCCAGGGAACACCTTCTGAGAATTCAGTCACTTCATTATAGTCCCCACCCAGATCCTTGGTAGCACTGGAGGCTCTAAAACTGAGCTGGTGCATGCCCGTTTCAGTTAAAGCTTTGTTGGAGGAATGGCACATTTCTGGTTTGACCAAGAGAGGGAAAGTATGCTGGTCTGCCATTCCCTTGGCAATCCTGTGGGCTTTATGGTATGATGAACAATAGAATTTTTTAGCAGACAGCAACTTCTGAAGCCAAAGTCATCAGTTTGGCTTTAGGCGGTATTAGAAATTCGTGTTTAAAGATAATGTTTTTAAAGGCAATACTCCTGACTGTTCTTTTTCGAGGGTCGACTTTTTCCGAGGTCCTACTTGGCAGTTTCTCATACAATTTCTCATTCTACAGAGGACCTTATACTTTTGACTTAATACAATTATACTTTACCTTCTCTCAAAAAAAAAAAAAAAAACACAGAAGATGAATCACATTCTAGGTCATCATCTTCAAACTTGGTGTAGCCTCTTGCAGAGCAATTAGAAATGCATGCCAAGGCTTCATCAATGTTGATTGTTGGTGCTTGTCCTGCAAGAAGATAAATCTTGTGTGCTTGTTGGGAGTTCGGATAGAGCAAGAGCTGGGATGACATCCCTTCTGCTGTACAAATTATCTTCAAGAAAGTGGATTTTGTTGTTCACATTGTGGTTGAGGGAGATGTTTTCATGATATTCAGTGAAGATTTGAAAGGTTCATCTGTTTCTTATAGAACTTCACTTAATCACATTGAAACAGCCTAAAGCTGCTTCATATTCAGCACCTCTCATATCTTTCCAGGATCAAAGTTGTTAAGTTGTTGAGGGAAATGTAATGTGCCTACATATAAACCCTCCTATGAAAGAAAACTCCATCCTCAACAGGGATAGGTTTGGAGAATCAACATCTTCACTGTAAATGAAGGATGTTGGGATGGTAAAGATGGAGAAAATAATGATGTGGAGGCAAGGTTATCTAGGGTCAGGRATGAAGCTACTKGGGCCACCCAAAACATGCCTTTAATTTCAGTACAAATAATCTCAATTAAGATAAAAGTTTCATCTAAAAGGAGGTTTGGACACCATGACAAGATCACTTTCAGATCCCAATATGAATGTTGGGCTGAATAGGGTGCTTGCATGTTTCAAGTTTAGACTTTGGATCCGATCAATTGCTGTTGAGCCTAGAAAGGAGGAAAAGTAAACCATTTCTTAAATCCTACACAAAGGTTCTTACAATGTAGAGAGACTGGGCTGGATGGGCCTCAATTGTTATTCTTTTTAGGGAAATTGTCTAAAAACTCACCATGAGTTTTCAACATTTCTCTTAAACTCACCACAACTTTTCAAAATGTCTAAAACTCACCGTGTCAGTAAGTTTTACTTTTCCAAAACTCACCTTCCGTTAGTGCACCGTTAATACTTCTTAACAGAGGTGTCCATGTCAGCATAAATAACAATTTTCATGACCAAATTAGTTAGAGGAAAAATGGTCTTTTTCAGTTTTCTTTTTTCTTTTTTTTTTGCATTTTTAGTGTTTTGTTATAATTTCCAATGTTTTTTATAATTCCTGTTTTTTTTACATTTTTCTATTTTCTACAATCTATAAATNCATAGTCAAGCTGGATGGAACTAATTATCTGGCATGGTCACAATCGGTAAAGATTCATATCTGTAGTAGAGGAAAGTGGG